GATAATTCATTATATATTTAATTTAGCTTTTGTATGTATATATGTTTGTAGTATATGTATTATATGTGTATATATATATATATATATATATATATATATATGTGTGTGTAGGAAGTATAATGGGTATAGTACAGAGATTGATTTTGTAGTTAGGAATAATAATCAATTCGTTTACACGAACTAATTATCCAACGAGTCGAGGATAAACTAGTAACGGAATACAACAAGCGCACCGTTCCACGACAGAGCCAAGACTGTCTTAACGGCGGCCGCTCCGTCCGTTTTATACAAGCAGGACGGGCGGCAACGCAGGTGCAATGCCCAGGTGTGCGGTACACGTGTCGTTTACAAGAATTCTGTCTAGCTGGACCAACGCCACCGCATCTACAACGGTGCAGGTGCCGTCACGGCCATACTGACATGCGTGCGTCCTCGCACGCGCTCCATCACAATTTTAGTTATCTGTAACAACTGTAATCTCTAAAACATCGTTCGATTATCCTGACAAAACAGCGTCTGGTCCGGTCTATATTGACCCTTCAGACTTGGCTGACAGTCAGTTTTGTTCCGGCAGTAAGCCCTACAAAACTTTAATCATCTTTATGTTAGATCGGAATGATTAGTCTGTAGCTTTTTCTATTTTATCTTTTTTTTTTTGAAGTACTGTTTTCGCTAGTCCGGAATAACTATTCCCTATAGCCATATCATTGGACCGGCACGAAGCCCTGCAATGATAATAAGAACTTTTTTTTTCTTACGCCTTTTTTTTTCAAGTACTATTTATGCTATTCCGGAATCACTATTCCCTTTAGCTATATCATTGGACCGGCAAACGCCCTGCAATCATAGTAAGAACCACATTTTTTTTCTAACTCTCTTTTTTTTCAATTCAGTATAGAACAGTTACAGACCAATTATACCGCAAACATGTCCCCGTCACAATCATATAAAAGTGTATCGTGAGGGACGTAGTGACACACGATAACACCTAAGTATGTAAACCAACAGCAACTCGACGCATATACCAGTGCAGCACAGACTAGCCTCCCTGCAACTTCATGTTCCTTTCCTGCACTGGAATAATTACTTCGCTAGAGTGTTGCAACGTCTCTAGTATTTTCTAGATGCACAGACACGGCTACCTCTGACTGTCGCATGTCCTCGTGCGGTTGACAGTGAACAGCGTACGGTCTATCAGTTATCACCACCTGCTAACAGATATTAACTCTTGTTAAATATTACAACGGTCGACCATCCCAGACTTCATTTAAGTCATGGACGCGCCGATATGGCTACCTCCAGGCAAACGCACTCCAACTTTCCGTTCTGCTGCGTTCGTGCCACATTCGCGCTAGCGAGCCGTCGCGCCGTACTGGCGCTATCGAATCGTCGCACTGCTTTGCAAAATTAAAAATTAAGAGAAATGGAGATAAATGTATTGCGAACCATGGAATTCAGAGATTCCGAAATTCATCACATATTCTCTTAAGAAACGGCAACTGCACGACATTTGAAAACATTGCAAAAAAATGGAAACTATGTGTAGGGATAGATACCACAATATATTTCGAAGCGAAGGAGGAAACTGCGCAAAATCTACGAAAGCCGTCCATTTACAGCGCCAAAGCACCATTTGTTCGGCGGCCGCTTGAATTGCCCTGCCGTAAGATCAGCCGATAAGTAACCGACTGTAGCGGTGTAGGCTCAATATAACCAGCGCCCGGCCGTACCTGACCATGTTCGATTAGCCATCACAACGTCTTCCTCATTGATCATTGTTGTAGAGACTTCTACGAATCCCTCGAAATCAAACCTCAATCTTGTCAACGACACAATATTCGGAGCAAACTGCAACACTGATCAACACATTAGAACATTAAAATGTCACTTATTATTTTTAATTCATAGCGTGTTAAAGTTAATCCTTTATTGTAGTACAACCCTTAAAAGTTTTGAACTTCAAAATATAGCAAATGATAATCATGTTTCGCGTGAACTATCAAATTACAACAAAACGAGAGCAGCAGGAGCACCTGAGGGCTTACAGGCATCGTCGGGGTTGTAGTCATCATGATCTGCGTGAAAAACAAATTGTTAACTATAAGGACAACATACACAGTTGCCTGTTCTCTCATCTATCACACATACGAGGCCCTAAAACAGAAATACGTTCTCATACCTTGGACTATAATAAAGCACTTCGCTTTCACAAGTAAACATAGGTCTTCATACGAAGTATCTGACACATACTCCTACTTGAACTTGCGAGATCCCACGTTAACTACGTGAACCACATTAAAAACGTGAACCAGGACAGCGCCAGCCAGAACAGAGCCTAATACATGTTCAGAAAACATTACCGTGCACACAGCATACGACTTTCGCGCACACAGTGTGACTCCCACGCATACAGAGTACACGACTTCCGAGGCATCGCCATGTACAGCATACGCGCGCTCCGGGATGGCGCCTGCGTATACGCGCATACGCATCTGCCGAAACCAGGCCATGTTACAGCTGGACCTGGCAGTCCGTTACGACCAGCAAGGCACACACTCACGCACTTGTAATCACATCACACGTGCTACTGTAACACATAAAAGAAAACATTAAAAATACTCAGTCGGAACTTGATTTCAAGAAATGCAGCACTACTCTTGGTACACCATTCGCCTTTCTAGGGCACCAAATACTGAGCTGCGGCTACACGACAACCTCTGGTATGGTCCGATCCTCATGTAAACTTAAATACTCTCTTCAATGTCAGAACTAATTGGCTCTACTTCACTTTCATCAGTTATACTTCGGTTTTCCGGCATTTTTCGCAACCAATTAAAAATGTAAACACTCATTCTTACAAAATAGTTTCTGAGCCAATGTTTAGGATAAATTTACTTTCCTCATGTATCTAATGGTGATCAGTAGCAGCGACAAATAATAAGTCTGCGGCGTCATAAGCCGACAGCATACTCAAAAGCGAGCGCTACAGCTCCACGCTTTCCACTAAACTATTCCAAGTTTAGTCGATTACGTAATGCTCGGAATAAACTGTAACACTTATCATCACATTAGATCACAAAAATACTACTTAGTGTTTTTAAGTCATAGCACGTTAAAGTAATCATGTTATTTTTTTTCGGTACATTGTTTAAACATTTTGAACTTTAAAACTAGGCCATGTAAATCACACCTCGTGTATAAAATTATAACATTACTTGAGCAAGTTAAACTTCCACTGAATGCAAACTATAACTCATTCAGAATATCTCCAACATTTCTTTCGACATTTGTTATCATATTTGGGTACGTTAAAAAATAATGAAATTATTTGAGGGTACTTTCTATTATAAATTGAATAAAAAGATTTAACTTTTGACTTAAAACATTTCACTTTAAACTTTTATTCTACACTTTAATGATTCGTCAATGTCGTAAATACGACAACAAACTTGATTTAAGAAATTGAACACAAAAACAAAACGCGAGGCGCATTATAGTATTTCACCAACGTAATAACCCTTACACTATTCAAAGGTTATAGCAGGTGGGCAGTAACAGGGACTTTATCCCACTTCTGATGTAGGAAGTATAATGGGTATAGTACAGAGATTGATTTTGTAGTTAGGAATAATAATCAATTCGTTTACACGAACTAATTATCCAACGAGTCGAGGATAAACTAGTAACGGAATACGACAAGCGCACCGTTCCACGACAGAGCCAAGATTGTCTTAACGGCGGCCGCTCCGTCCGTTTTATACAAGCAGGACGGGCGGCAACGCAGGTGCAATGCCCAGATGTGCGGTACACGTGTCGTTTACAAGAATTCTGTCTAGCTGGACCGACGCCACCGCATCTACAACGGTGCAGGTGCCGTCATATATATTTATGATAGAAGTAAATTTCAGTGCAATCAATAAATCAAAAATCAAAATATTTACAATGATTCAACACTAAAGATTTTTTCATTCTGTGTATACATGAATTAATTTCCTTTAAATAAGTTAAGTTTATTGTACAATTGACGTTTTGATTTATTTGTTATATGTTCCGTTTCTTTTTTACATATATAATGTAACCCTACGTCAATAAATTTTTCAACTTACGGATTGCTAAAATAAAAATAATAAAGCTAAGTATCTAACGAAATTACACAAACAGAGACAAAAGTAACAATTACCATTATTTTAAGTTCTGGTAAGAAATTACTAAAAATGATTACAATACAAATCTACTCCATGTACTCTACTGTTCTGTTTTACAAATGTTTACGCGTGTATTGGCCAACCTTGGCAAAACATTTGTAGGAGTGCTTTAAAATCGGTCATTTTGTTTCAAATATGATAATTAAAATAAATTCTTAGTTTAGAGCTTAAAATATAACTTATTCTACATGTACTTACCGAAAGTAAGACAATCCGGCTGTTAAATTGCTTTTTCGGGCATTACTCTTGCAACTTTTGAATATACATTGCGGCATTGTGAAACGTGTTTATATTGCCTGTGTTTCAAGTCAACTAAACGAAATAAGAGCTCACGTCTCCAGTGCGGTGTTATTTACTTCGCCGTATTTTTTGCGCCGACCCGATATCTAGTTGGTATTGTTTATCGAAGGATTTGATGTGTGATTTATGATCCACTTAATTATTAATTTCGGTAGGTATCGCACAATATTAATATCGAAGAAGTCACCTTGCTGGCTAACCTTATACGGAGAGTTTAACATTATTACTTTGGGGCATCAATACACGATTCTCGTCTGGGAGGGCTCTTCTAATTTGATATTCGTTTTTTTTTTAATAGGAATGTTTAGAATCTGGTTTCGTTAAATAAAAACAGCCTTTGCCACATTTTGATCTCATGTGTAAATATTAATATATATAAAAATAAGTTTAAAATCCACAGATCTTACGCAACTAACTTCAGTATTCGATTATCATCAGAAACATAAACATATACTCGTATTATTGAAAAAAAAATACAATCGATAAATGTTAAAAATGCATTATCTGAGCCTTGTTTTCTTAGTTTATTTACTATTGGAGACTAGTGGAGCACTGGGTAAGTTCCCCCGTTAACAGTAGTAACTCATAGAGGTGAAGAGGCAAAGTTAGCAAAGTCCTGAGTTCGATTTCAAACAAATTCAAGATTTGATAAGCTTTTCGTATTTTTTGTCCGAATTTGTCAATATACTTGATTCTTAGATAATGCACCGAACATGGTACTTTATCGCATTTAAACATATCATCGGACACCCGTACTTGTAAATATTATTTATAATATTATTTTTATAGTTAATTCTTAGTACTAATTTTATTTGTAGATTACTTGCGAAAGTAATTCTAAGTAGATAATCGTCGTAGCCGAAATAAAAGTTACTAATTTCATTCGTCACAATTTTCAATTAAAATAGTTGTTTTAGTTATACATAAAATAGCAACTGTAAAAAATATACAGTACTTATGTTTAAATTTAATTACTTAAACGAAATTAATCTATTAGCAGTATTTTCCATTTTACTTCAGCGTGAACCCAGTACACATTTCTATTTAAGACTGGCTAATCTGTTTTATGTTTATTTGCAGCTCCTTTTATTAAACCTTGCAAAAGCGATGACACCGAATGTCTTATAGCTAGTACTCAAAATGCAATTCCATACCTAGGAAAAGGTATTCCTGAGCTGGGTGTTCCCCCTGGCGACTCACTAACATTTAAGGAAATTAACGCTGATCAGGGTGAATTAAAACTTACTTTCAGAGACTTGAAATTAGTTGGCACTAGTAAGTGCCAGGTTATAAATGTTAAGTAAGTTACTTTAATGTCTACAATTTTCCTAAAATTCCGAAAAAATTAACAACATTAGTAAAAATTTTCCTATGCAAATTATTTTCAACTGTTAATCTTTACATAGCATAGAAATACTTCTTTAACATTTTTTTACAGGATAAGGGTGACAAACGAGCACACAGTCCACCTGGTGGTAAGTGGTTGCTGCGGCCCATAGACATCTACATTTATCCTCGATCACGAATCAAAATGCAGATACGTTGCCACCCGTGAGGACTAAGATGGAATGCCTCGTTTCCATTAAAAAGGGTCTCCGGTTCTCTACACTCACCATACGAAACACAGCAGCATTAAGCTGCTATTTTACGCTAGTATTCTGTGAGAGCGTGGTCCTTCCCTGGTCGAGCCAACCCATTCGTGTTACAACTATACCAAAATATAGCTGCAGCATGGCTCTACCACGTATATAAGCTCCTACTTTTTTGCATATTTTTCGGCGTTCTTTAACTAATATATAAATTTATTTCACATATCTATAATTTAATCATATTGCTGGGTCCTTTTGACATAAAAAAAAAACTATATGTTAGATACACCATACGGGTTTTTACAATATAGTATCTTATTAATTAATCTTTCTTTTTGTAGGAGAGACATTGAAAAATCGACTATTTCAATTGAGATTGACTGTCCCTTATTAGTCACTGGTCTTTATAAGTTAGCAGGCAATCTTTATGTCATCCCAGCTGAAGGAGATGGCGAGTTTGAAATTAAGACAGGTATATTGAAAATATTTTATAATATAAAATATATGACACCAATATTAACCCTGATAAAACACTTAATTAAATAAAAACTTTTAAAAGTTATTACTTAAAAAAAATTTAATGTATTATAGGCACTGGTGTCGTAAAAGGTGTTGAAGGAAATGAACCAGGAGATGGAAGCAGTTCCTTCCTAATGCCAACTCAAAATAATAAAGAATTGCGGTAGCCAACCCGCCTGCCAAGCTTGAAAACTATAGCAAATATCCTAGAAGTTTAGATTGACGGGGAGGCCTATTAAACAATAGAAGTGAAGATGACGATAATGATGTAGAAATTGCTAGTAAGGTGCATTTTTTACATGGTAGAGCCACGCTGCAGCTATATAGGTTATATCACGAATGGATCAGCTCGACCAGAAAAACTACTGTTGCCAACTAGCCTGCCAAGTGTAGCAACTATGGCAAATATATCTAAAATAATCCTATAAGAGACAATCTATGGGAGGCTTATGTTCAGCAGTGGACTGTGATAGGTTGTAATGATGCTAATGATGATTAATTGATCATAAATGTAATCTGCTGCTTATGTGCTTTTTTTCCAAAAGCAAAAGCAAGCAAGCTGTAGAAAGTTTTCAGAATTTCTTTCTGAGCACTTTCGACAGCAAATTAATTGCTTTTTTAACCTAGGTATATAGAAAAGATTAAATTCAATTATATTAATAATTTTTAATCGCATAATTTTACAGATAAAGCTAAGATCATTGCCACGTTGAAATATAAGATAGTCGATGGAAACAACGGTCAAAAACATTGGAAAATCACCGGCTATGACTATTCCTATGACCTTGTCAACAGAGTTTATATCAAGCTTGAAAACCTCTTCAATGGAGACGAAACAAGAGGTAAACATAATATGTTTGTTTTTTTTATCTCCTTAATTACAATAATTTTTTATGTTGGTTTTAGTAATAGCTAATTAGGATAATTGTATGTAATGTTATTTTTATGCACGTAAATAAGTATTCCCTTTACACGTAGACACGAATATTTCACTACAATAGATTTTCCTTTTTTTTTACAAATTTTCGTAATCTATATAATCCTTTAATTTCAAAATGCCTGGTAATGCATTATTTTACTGCGCACGTACACATTCGTAAGTTGTTGCCCACAAATCACATTCATTGGAATAATTTCAAATTAAAATAGAAGACTTATTTACTCGTATTTTCAAAAACTGCGATAATGGTATATTATTATTTGTATATTTGAACTTAATTTTTTAAGGCTACTCTTTTAAAAATAACCCTGCATATATTATATTGTGTACTTGAGAGTCGAGTTTTGTTTATTAAATAGTGCGTCACTCAGCTGATATCGTAAATGTAAGCTGCAACTTCAGGTCTGTTTATTAATAATATCACAACCTCAAGATTGTTGTTGTGTTCCCAAGTGCGTACACTTGAGCTGAGGTACGGTTATTTATATACGAGCCTTAGTCACTAATAAAAAGCATGTTAGTATGATATCATCGTGTGTTATATTACCAAAATAAATGAAATACAAAATATGTAATTTATTTAAATACGGATATATTTTTAAGCAGTGATGTTATTGTGTAGTCTAATTATTAAACTACTATATTATTTACAACTCAATAATAACAAGAAGCTACAATCTGGTTATATTATACTAATACAGTAAACATGAAAGGACTACTCAAACTTTGTTTCAAAATGCTTGTAATCAAGTTTTATTTAATGTGAAATTGTCTCACACGATGTTATGATGGATTTAAATAAGTTTAAAATCGAAAATAAATTAATCGAAAATTAAAAAAAAAACGTTTTCTACACCACAAATAATCAGAATTTAAAATTTCTTTAAACAATTTGGCTCGGATCGAACTTGAGATGCTCGCTTATTATGAAATTTAAGGAAAACAATTAAGTCTTCATTTAAGGTGTTTATTTAGAAATAAAAAATAATCAACAATTAAACATTATGACGACGTTTAATTTTAAAAATTATTGTTTTATTCACAGCTAAACAAGTTCTAGATGTTTTGAACAACAGCTGGAAGGCATTAATTACTGAAATAGGATCACCTATCATCAAGGAATTGGTAGCTAAAGCCGTAAACTCAATAAAGAAATTTATGTTAGCTGTACCGACTTCTGAACTCGAATTATCATAATTAATACGTAAAAGTACAATAGAACGTCAGTTACGAGTACAGTTTATGAGTAGGTAAGATGTTTAAAGGATTTAAGTAAAACATAATTTTATTAACAGCAAAATAACGAACAGCTCTAAATATAAAGTAAGATGGAGTGGTACTCAAAAATAACCTTAGTAGTTCCTAGTTGCTTGAGAACGTTACAATGTAAGAAGTGTAATGAGGTTTTTGTAACTTCTATTTAGTTTCGTTAAAATAAATGTACTATATATTAAGAAAACTGAAAAACCTAGTTACAAAATTATGATAGAAAGGAATTTTCCTTTACGAATAAAATAACAAATAGCATTTTGATGAAGTTGCAATAAAATTTTATAAGTTATTTTTGTTATTTTATTTCTGCTACTTTATTAACTTAAAAAATCTAGGAGGGAAAAATTTATAATATGCCATAAATACTACATTTTTTCACGGTCTCTTTTGTATCATCAACGTGCTGGTTAACAACGTGATTGCTGTCCTTGATGTAGTACTTCCGATTCTTCTTCAGATTTTATTTTATCTTATATGGTGCCCATCGAAGGTAGATCCTAGTCATGGTTAACTTGCTCCTTTAAAATTGCATCACGGCGATACTCCCATGGAATACTGTTTTCATCTCTGGGCCGGAGACACCAGTACCAGCTCCTTCCGCTTAACCGCATTCAGCGCAGAGCGACTCGAACCGTCGACCACCGAGTTCTGTATGACCGGGTCGATTCACTGAGGCTGCGTGAAGTTGTTGCATCCCTTTGTAATTTCTATCGCCAACTTCCTCGTACGAATTCTTCGTGACGATAAACGAGCTTACTCCTTCATAAAATATCTCTCCTCTACAAAAGGTCAGCAATGCACCTGCAATCCCCTTGGTGTTGCAGTTGTTCATGGGCGGCGGTCGACACTTACCATCAGGTTAGCCTCATGCATGTTTGCTCCCTCTTCTATAAAATAATTTTAAAAATCAAAGCTTAATATTACAGTAGACAATTTATTTAGTGCCGGCAGGGATCGAACTCAGATGCTTGCGTACTGTCTAATTAACGGCGTGCGCTTAGTTAATTGAGCTACGATGAGATAAAAGAGAAAATAAACAATAGCTATTTGTTTGGTTTCTTGGATAGTTTAAAACGTTAAATATTCGGCTGAGATTACTTCAGCTCTTGTTAATTTGATATTTTTATACAATTCAGTATGATAATTTCGATCGAAAAAGCATTGGTATGGTTTTTCTGCCGAGGAATAACAAAAGTTGAAAATAGGCGTGTCACCTTTTTTGTAATCCTCGTCTTTATAATCCCCATCTCGTCTTTTTTTATTGTATTTCCTGATACATTGATTGGCTTAATGTGTTCGTACAGCCTATTTTTGTTTCCTACTCGTTTTGGTTGTTCTGAATATATCATTGTCAGTACATCCACCCATAACAGCCAATAGTCCATTGCTGAATTTAGGCCTCCCCCAGAAATTTTCACATGGATTATCTCATAGTTGTCAGGCATGGTTGGCAAGATTGTAACCATCAGGTGGACTGATGTGAGCGAGATTAGAATGACTCTCCAGCACCTTAAAAACGGCAAGTTCCTGATGAGGAGCGCAGCTTCTGAAAGCGGGTGGAAAACCGGCACTTGAAGTAAGTTCATAAGCTCTTTAATTCCGTCCTCCATGGTGGCACTACACCGGAGGCGTAGAGCAGAAGTGCAGTGATCTTGTTGTACAAGAAAGCAGACGACGCTCTCTTGAAGAACTACTGTCCGATTCTTCTTCTGAGACGCGTCTACGTCATATTTTCGAGAGTTGTTACAAATCATCCCGAACAAGCTGGTTTCCGAAAAGGCTTTAGCAACATAGACCACATACTATAACTCTAGAATATATATAGGACTATGAAAAAGCCTTTGATTCCGTCAACATTTGGGCGGTGCTGCAGTCCCTTCAGCGGTGCCAAGTTGATTGTCAGTATCTCGAAGTGCTGAAGTATTTTTATAATAGGGCTACGATGGCTATCCGAGTACACAACCAGAGTACGAAACCTATCAGACTGCAGAGAGGTGTAAGACAGGGTGACGTTTTATCTCCGAAACTCTTCACCGCTGCATTGGTACACGTTTTCAAGCTATTGGACTGGAAAGGATACGGTATTAACATCAGCGAGTTCCTCACTCACCTTTGATTTGCCGACGATATACAATAGACATCTACATCTATGTAGACATCTAAACCTATAAATGTACATAGATGTGTATTGCCCACAACATCCACTTACATTCTGGTGGACTGTGGGCTCGTTTGTCACCGTTAGTCTATAAAAAGTGATTTATTTTAAATTTGTCCCAAATTAAGTAACACAAACACTCACGCCTATCACCCTTCTGGGTGACAGGCGTGAGTGTTTGTGTTGTTGTTGTTGTATATTGTGACTCAAAGTATAATATTTTATATTTTAGGTTAAACTTAGAAATTCGAAATAATTGTAATAAAACATAATGAATTTAACATGTTTAATTAGTGATTTAAATCTTTTTTAAATTTGGTCATGAAAAATTCCTTTTGTAAATATTATTTTGTAGTACTCTCATGGTCTTAAGTTTCAAATAGATTGAAAGTATTTATATTAGAAAAAATAAACATTTTTATTCCTCAATTGTATAGAAATAAGTTTATGAACGTATAATAAATATTTCCACAATTTAGAGTTTTGCTGCAACCAGCATGTGCTTTACCACAAGGTTTACTGAACATACTCGTATTTATTGGTTACTTTTGTAGAATTATCTAATAAACCTTAATTAAAAATCTCTCCAAGTGATCTAAATATGTAATAATATTATATTAACCTTTAATTAACACTTAAATCGTTATATTTAGAAGTAGAAGAGTATTTGTTGTTCAAAAAATACATTCCAAATTCAAATTTTTACCTGAGGTTGGTAAACAAATGTAGTAAACTGAAAACACCTTTTTAATACATTTTGTGGCGCGAACTTCCTAAATAACTTTTAGTCCGTTTATATTGATTAATCGCATTTCCTCGACATTTTGAAGTATTATTACTGATGTTTAGCTGTCTCGAGAATGGCACATAAATTGATAAAAACCTGCAAAATTATTGCTTGACTAAAGGCTAAATGTAGGTCGTTCGGCAGTCCACTTGGGAGCGCTATCATGTTCTTTTTCTGATAAGTCAAGCGTTGAGAAATCGTAAATATTCGTATGTAGACTTCGAGAACAACCTGGAATAAGTAAGAAATGTGCAAATTATTCAATGAACAGTCTGGAGAAGGCTTCTCGCGTAATACATAATTACTCCATGAGCACCGAGTTACCAGGTTTAGCTGCACTCGAAATTGTGTGTTATAGACTCAAAAAGACTGGGACAGGGTATTGTTTTCCGATGGAGCCAGTCTCTATACAGTGAAAACCGACGTCGGTGAGTGCTATGAAGACGAGGAGAACGTTTTACAGATGCATGTTTTGATGACAAACTGACTGGGCACCGATACATAACGAAAGTGCTAATTCCTAATGCATAACCCGCATTGTCGCTCTTGGCGTAATCTCAATTTTTATGGATGACAAAATTTTCTTTTGCCAATGTGGAAGCGTATAAGGTCAGAATTCGTCGTTTGAATTGGACAGCTCAAGTCTCGACCTAAAGACCCAGAGCATGTCATGGGCGTTCTGAAGCGACGAGTGAGATCAGTGCAGCCGTCTCCGCAGACCATAAAGGAGCTAAAGAATGCGCTAGCGCTTTGAACTTTAACATTATTTCTCATTAATTGAATCAAAATGTTATGATAAAATTGACGAAAACACTCCTTGTTAATTAATTTACAAAATTTTCAGTTTAAGACTACCTAAAATTATCAATTAATCTAGTAGTAATAATAAAATTGGTTATTTGCTTAGGTGTTTTCGCGTAAAGTTTTTATTAATAATATAAATAAATTCTGTTAAGGTTGTCGAAAAATAACGACAATATAACATTTTTCAATCCTCAGATAAATATTATTCATCAATTAAATTATAACCTGACTGAATATGCAACTATTTTGTTCATATAACTGTTTATCATATGAATACATTTTATCTGTGACAGTATTAATAATTCTGAATATACCAAAAGGCCTGGTTAAACCAATGTTTGCTATTTAGTTCTGAATAAGCCGTGAGAAACAGAGAAATATATATATATATATATCTATAAGTAACACAAACACTCACGTATATATACGAACTCTCAATAACATAATGTTAATATAGTGGTAAGGTTTAATTACTGTAACATTGGCAATAGCGGGTGACGGTTCCACCTGACAAATAATAGTTTCGATTAATGGAGCAGTAGTCTCTAATTTAAAGTCATTACTTATATTAATAGACGTATATTTATTACACTCTTACAGTACTGCTACAAATATTATAAAGTACGTATATAATTTTATTATAAAAATATTACAGCAAAAGAAAGCATTTATTACTTACGAATTATTCTTATTTTAGATGTATAACCTATTTATTTAACAAGTACGCTTTAAATATACATATATAAATAATATTGACGACAAAATTGTTCATTTGAAGACCCAAATTCTCGACTTATTCGATAGGCACACACCAGTTCGAGCAGTCAGCTTACGCCGACCTCCTGCACCGTGGATAACTAATGAAGTGCGTAGAGTAATGGTAAGAAGAGATCAAACTTATCACATTTTTAAAAAGAATCGGAATAGTCTCACCTTTCAACACTTTAAGCGAGCATGAAATCGCTGTAATCAGGTGGTAAGAACTGCCAAACGCCGCTACATCCACAATAGTATTTTAAACTCCTCTTCTGCAAACACATTCCAATTCGATAATTCCAAATATTTCACTCAATGACTTGAACATACATTTCTCTTCTGCTTCGCGTCTGCATTATTCCACTAAAGTTACGACTCACCAAGAACTTAATTCTATGTCATTGCTATCGAGTAATTCTC